GACACATTTTTTGCTTTCCAACTTAACTCCCTGCATAAGGTGCTACTCCATTTTATTTAAATGAAGTTAACCAGTAAAACTCAGTTAAATTAGAAGATTGCACCCTGCAAAGCATTCAGATGATGTGCAAATTATGATTTTGTGGTCTTGGAAACAAAGCCAAGCAATGAAAAAATAGTTTACTAAATTTTCACTGCAGTAATTTTCTTCACAGTCTTGAATTACATTGTCTGTTGGGGAGGCCTATCAGTTTCCATAGCTTCAGTTAGATGTGCTAATGATTCTCAACTTCCTCTCTGCAGCCCAGAACTTTTTCCCAGTCTTCAGGCTCATATATTCAACTACTGAGCATCTATCCAGATGGACATGTCCCAAAAGGCAGGTAATTCAACCAAATGAATTTCATATCAACAATTGAGTACATCACTACTGCCTCACCTCTTCTCACCTCCACCTCCCATCTTACAAACATCTTACCTCTGCTGTTTTCTTTTTTGGTGTTTGTTTAAAGATTTATTTTATTTATACAAGAACCGGGGTACAGGCCAGATGCGCGGCAGGGTGAGAGGATTCACCAGAGACAGAGCGGGGAACAGAACAGGCAGACTGATGAAATGCATTGCTGAGGGGAGCAGTGGGGCAAGACAGGAGAGGTCTGCTCGCCATGTGGGTTGCTCTGAGGGTGGTGGGGATCGAACCGGCACTACTGAGGCTGCGGACAGCTTCATAGCGCTGTGCTCAACCGCCTGCGCCACCAGGGAGGCCCCCTCGCTGTTTTCTTTCTCAGCAAGCAGCACTGTCACCATCCACCTATTTGCCCAAGTCAGAAGCACGGCATTAGTCTTTCCACTTCTGTAGCATTGCTTCTATCTCTCAGCTGTCCCTTGAATTCTCTCAGTCTCTTTATTCCAACAGTTCACACCTTGATTGAGATGCCATGACTTCCCAACCAGACTACCCCAATAGTGAGTTTCCAGGGTTCTGAGATCGCATCCTCAGTTTCATCCTTCATGGCCAATGTGATGAAAATAAATCTGAGGATGTTACCCCTGAGCTGAAATACTGTAGTGGATCCCTCTGGTCTTAAGGATGAACTCCACTTTTAGAAGGTTGATACGGACTTTGCTGAGCTTTTTATTCTTCAATCCTCTTAGCTTCCATCTTCAGCTCAGCTTTCATTTTTAATTGTGCCATGTCAGCATAATTACAGAGTTAGGGCTCAGGGACAAATGAAACTGGACTTGGCTATGGAGCAAATGCAGACTTAAACTGTCATTTAAGTGAGTTGTGTCTAGTCAAAGGGAGAGTATATGGTGCTTCCCTGGTGAAGCAGGGGTTAGAGACACAGCACTATCAAGCTATTGCCAGCACTGCCTCACAAGTTCGATCCTAGGCCATTGAGCTGACCCACATGGCACAGCAGACCTCTCCTGCCCTGCCTTCTGTTCCCCTCAGCAGCGTATTTCAGTGGATCTGTCTGTTCAGCTCCCCTCTCTGTCTCTGGTGAATCCTCCCCCTCTCCACTGACCTACACCCCAGTTCTTCAATACATAAATAAATAAACCTTTTTTAAAAAAAAATAAAGAGGGCCTCCCCGGTGGCGCAGCAGTTGAGCGCTGGGTTGCAAAGCTGCCCGCAGCCTCTGCAACGCCGGTTCGCTCCCCGGCTGCTCCCTGGCCACCGGAGGAGGGTCCCATATGGCGCGCAAACCTCTCCTGCCGCCCGCTGCTCCCCTCAGCAGTGTACTTCGGTCCTTCTGCCTGCTCTGCTACCCGCTCTGACTCTGGTGAATTCTCTCACCCTCCCGCGCTTCTGACTGTACCCAGTGCATGTATAAACAAACAAACAAACAAATAAATAAATAAAAAAAAACATGCCTCTATTAAAAAAAAAAAAAAAGAAAAAAAAAAAAAAAAAGAGAACGCATATGATAAAAATTGCAAAATTTCAAGTAGTGAAATATTGTTGAACAGATTTAAGTGTAACCCAGGAGTACAGACTTCCTTCTGTCTTATCAAAAAAAAAAAGAATAGTTTAGGATATAGTTCAAATCTGGTTTAACAAGGCCAATCCTTGCTGAAGTCTGTGGATTTGGAAACCTCTCAAGTTAAAGGGATTGAAAATGATTCTGAATATATCTCTGTTGTTCAAACAGATTTTTCCCAGAAGTAGGAAGCTCATAAAATGCATTTCTCAGTACTGGATTTTTGATCTTTAAGCAAATGATGAATCATTAATCCAGTAATTTCAGCTTGCTTAAAGTTTTAAAATCTGCTTTTCATAGTGCCTAAATATTTCTAAAAACCAAGGAAGATTTAGAATTGTGGGTACATTATTTTGTGTGATGTTATATCTTACAATTATTGGGACAATTTGTTAATATATGTCCTTGGCATTAAAGTATTTGTGTTAAAAAAAAAAACAGAATATTGTTGAATCTGACCAATTAGCCATGCAATTCCAATTTTAAATTATATAACTAGTTTCAGATTTATAAAGTTCAAAAAACATAATTTTACATTTGTAAACAATAATGCAGTGCTTAAGAAAATCTTATTTACAACTTTTACAATGTATCAGATTTGAACATGTTGATAAAATGCTATGCATAGTCACATCTGGGGATTTGAAGTGCTTATAAGAGGTCAAATTTGTGAAATTCTTATGTGCAGTTTACATTTTAAAGAAACTATAATGCAAAAGCTGGAGAAGACATTTGAAATCCTTCCTAGGAGAATGGGTGGGACATTAGTAGAGGTTCCAGTTGGTGGGAATGGTGTAAACAAAGTTGTGGAATTGGAAGGGTGCATATTGTATTGGGGAAATAATGGGCTTCCTTCTTTGTGACCTAAGTAAGGAACAGAAGGAGACTGATCTGAAACTGTGGTGTGTGGCAGAAGTACAGAAGACCTTGAGGGCCAGATGAACAACTTGGGAGTTAGTCAGAAGGGAGGAGGACTCAATGGAGAATTCTGAGTAGGACTAGGAGAGTTGCCCTTTAGGAAGAATGATGTGGTAGTGGATTAAAAGTGGATTGGTTGGGGAAGACTCAGAGAGGTAATGACCACAATTTCAGAGGTAATCAGACACTGGACTAAATTTAAACCGACTGTGGGAAAAGATGTCCTATAGCTTAAGTCTGAACTGCTGAGTACCCCTCCGGGAACACTTTATAAGACAAATTTTTCCAATGTTGATTGCTCCTTGCTCTAGATTGTCTGACTTGGGCAGTCAAGGTCAAAAGTCCATCCAGGAACAAATCTTTGGGTCAACAAGCACTGAAAATGCTATTTTTCTCCTCCCCAGCACAGTTCTCTAATTACGAAAAGTTATCTTCTACAACTTCCCCACTATTTAGTCCCTAGAAATGGTGTATTTTTCACAAAAGAGCAGAAAAAACCTCTCATAACACAACATACAAACTTCAGCTTCTCAGGCTGTCCCTAGAGTTTAGTGTGCTCTATTATTAGTGACCACCTTTTAAAGGACAAAGAGTTCAAAACTCCTGAGCTGAGCAAGGACTTGGGTTGTCTGTGGCCATAGCAGCTAATAGCAGCAATTCTGTACAGATGTCTGAGTTGAGGTCCAAGAAGAAATTCGATTACAATAAATCCAGTGGCTTAAAGCACAGCATACAATGAAAAAAAAAATCCATTTCTTGGGCTTTAGAAAGGTATATTTCAATGTAGAAGCTGGTTTAGTGTGAGCAAAAATGGTAAGTAGTTGTTGAACTATTATACCTAACAGCAATGTATTGCTAATTTTTTTTTTAAAGATTTATTTATTTATTTATACAAGCACTGGGTACAGTCAGAAGCACAGGAGGGTGAGAGAATTCACCAGAGCCAGAGCGGGGAGCAGCGCAGGCAGAAGGACTGAAGTACACTGCAGAGTGGAGCAGTGGGCAGCAGGAGAGGTCTGCGCGCCATATGGCCTGCGCGCCGGCGGCCGGGGAGCAGCCAGGGATCGAACCGGCGCTGCAGAGGCTGCGAGCAGCTTCGCAACCCAGTGCTCAACCGCTGCGCCACCAGGGAGGCCCTGTATTGCTAATTTTTAATAGCACACTTGAGTCCAAATTTTCAGACCTATTTTCAGTTTTTTGGTCTCAATCTTCATCTCTTATAAAATCTGGCTAGGCTAATAGTAACCAGATTGTTTTTCAGCTTCTCTCTCAATAGTGTTGCCCTTGACCTGGAGTTAAAGGAGGCTAAGTTATGGCTTGTAAAGACATGGAAAAACATGAAGAATATATTCCATTTTCTTTTTCTGGACAAATTATGTTTCTAGCCTTTCTTTTTGTGTATAATACATTAATAGTAAACATAATTAGGAAATTTATTTTCTATATTATAAACTCTAAAGGGAGTTTCTTTTTATACACTATAACATCAATAAAAACAATCAAACATCAAATATTCTCAGATATAGAAAGATAGAAAATTAAAAAATATATACTGCAAGTTGCTGCTTAAAGCAGTAATTCTTTAGATAAATATTTTAAATAAAATGTACAGATCACAAGGCCTTCTATACAAGAACATTTTGTTTGGTCAAGGTGAAGAAATAGGCAATTAGAATAGCTATCTCATTCCTGTTTTACAAGTGAAGACTTTGTGAGTTTGTTTGTTTTTTTTTTTTAAGAGTTATTTATTTATTTATTTGTTTGTTTGTTTTGTTTGTTTGTTTATACAAGCACTGGGTACAGTCAGAAGCATGGGAGGGTGAGAGAATTCACCAGAGCCAGAGCGGGGAGCAGAGCAGGCAGAAGGACTGAAGTACACTGCTGAGGGGAGCAGTGGGCAGCAGGAGAGGTCTGCACGCCAGGCGGGACCCCCCTCCAGTGGCTGGGGAGCAGCTGGGGATAGAACCGGTGCTGCAGAGGCTGTGGGCAGCGCTCAACCGCTGCACCACCAGGGAGGCCTGACTTTGTGAGTTTTTTACTTAAATGAACCGAGCACTGTCTGAATACAAGACAAATTGGAACCAAGCAAAGGTAGGGATTTCCCAATGATTTTTATTGAGGTAACCGTTCCCAATTTTATACATATATGCATTTATGTATACTTGAAAGCTAAACAATGTTCTAAGGCACTTGGAATTGTGCACAGCAAGGTATCCTATAATATTATACAACTAAATAGAGCATAATTTTGCTTTTTAAATAACACAAACAGCAATACAGAATAAAAAAGATAATACATAGTTTCTTTCATGTTACAATAGTGGAATACATATACATATGTGTGTATACTTGTAGATATTTATACCCACATACTATAATACAGTACAGATCAAGATCAACCACAAAAAAGAGAAACTGTCATGTTAATCAGTATACAGTTCCAGTTATTTACACTCACAGATATTATACCTGTGTAATATATAGAATTAGACCACTCACTGGAAATCAGGAATCATTCAGTCAGTCTGATAATGATCACAGCTTACTATTGTTATCATTTTAACCAAAACTTGCAATAACAAAAGAATGCATATAGTCTTTATTTTAAAATCACTGTTACATAGAAAAAAAGAGAAAAGTTTGAGTTTTTAGTTCTAAATCTGGTGAAATCGGTGCAGAATGTTTTGAACACATTGGCACATTTCTAAGCCACAGAACAATTATTTAAAAAAATTAGTGCCTGTATTTTTAGGGATGAAAGTGGTTTGACCCTAGATTCATTCAGCTTGTTTTTGGATGCTAGTTAGCATTACAATGGCGACTTCTCTCTGCATATGCTCTGTCAAGACCTAATAACACAAACTAGAGCAAAAGTATCCAGTCAGGGAAAAGTCCCTCCAAATTGGCAAGTGGCACAAATATTATTGGCATTTTAATACACCATAAAATTGACCTGAGGGTTGAGTGGCATTTTGCCCCATTTACTCCCTTCCATTTATTCTTTTAAAAAATTGCTACACAGCAAGATAAGGCTTAAGCACCATCTAAAATTTCACAATAGAAACCCAGCTTTATCGACTCCCAGTTGCTCTGCCTCAAAAAGGATATTTAGAAATTTTAATATTTAAAAAAGGCATAGTGGCTAATTAATTATTATTAATTCATAATTCCCACTATGAATTAGCCAATTCATCCAAATAATGCCAAGACATGTTTATCATTCAGTTTCAGTAATAAACAAGGCAGAGGGTAAGTATGTTTATATATTCTTAGTATAGTTTAATAATGTTCCACCCCAGTAAAACCATCTTGTTTTGTGTTAGAACCAACATCAAAGTATGAACAATGTGTACACAAGCCATAGTTAATGCAGGTTTCCTCATAGTTCAGTATTCACATATCTCACAAAGGTCCAACTGCGTGACTACATTTATACAGGGGGATCGAATTAAGCATATGTACATAGATTGAATACTTGTTTTGGAATTTAGGGGATGCAGTTTACCAAGTGAAAGCTAATGGTGATTTTCATAGAATACCAGTTTTGTATATGTGACTGGTTAGCTGCGGTTAAGCCATGCATCTATTCTGATGATATTGACAAGCATTAAAACCTACAGTGTAGTTCCAGTAAAAGTGTGAGGCAAAGGAAAAAAAGAAGTTTCCTTACTGTAAAGTCTCTCCTTTATGTACAAGGCAAAAGACTACTCCCACTGGAACTACCCAGGTGTCCAGGAACCGTCTCCCTGAAGACCTGGCAAATGAAAGCTGCACAGAAGGAGAAGGCTTGTAAAAGCAGAGGTGGAAGACATTATAAAGGGCTCAAGGAAATGCAAGGCAATGAATGAAGATATTGTTTTGAGGTAGGCACTTTCCCTGTGTCCTCAAATTGACAGTGGTATTCAAGGGAGAAGGTCCTGCCTTCCTAAACAGGCATTTGGACATGGTGGAGGGCTCTTTGCTTTTGGATTTTACAAAGACTGGAGATGCTATTGATATTTAGGCAGAAAGGGGCCTGGGATAGTAAGCATCTTGCAATGTAGTAGAGACTTCTGTACAACAAAGAATTGCCCAGCTGTAAATTGAGAAACATCGATCAACAGTGATTTGCTCACATGTGTAGCTGTGCTAGCAATGCGACAAGCTGAATGACATTTTGAGTGTGTGTGCAATAAATTCTAGCATAGCAAAAAGTGACTCTTGCCTATAGGGTTGATTTGATGCAGGGACAGCTGCCACAGGATTCTTTTTTTTTTTTTTTTTTGCCAGAAATCTTACAGCGTTTGGAATTCTTATTTTGAATAGGTTGACTATGTTTCAGTTATTTTCTAGTAATATTAATGATGGTTTGCATTTCCATGAAGAGCTTAAGCTTAATGATTGTAAAAAGTAAATGGAAAGTGAATATGAGAATGGTCTTGGCGTATTCTTTGTCCCCACCACCATTGGTCACTAGTAAAATTGGACCTGCTGGTTGCTCTTTGAAACCTGTCTTTGAATTATTTTGAGGAGTGCTTTTTCTGAGAAAGATGATACTATCACCAAATTAATTGCATTGTGTAAAACCTGGCATGGGATTTAAGGACTTATTTTCGATATTTCGTGCTTTTGAGGGGTGTATTCAATTCCTCTACTGCCTTAACAGGTTTTTACTTCCATTTCAGAACTTTCTGCTAACAATAGATTTACTGACAATAGAGGAAGATAAGTGACTATCACCAAGGTGTCTATAGAGGGTATGATAAGAATACCAGAAAAATGTGTTTTCTGGATAAATCAGAGAGAAATGAGTTTGCTTTTTCATCCTTTTAAATCAGTTATTTAAATAACTGAAATGATCCTCTGAATATAGTTTTTATCTAGGTTACTTAATGAAGATAAACAATATTGACTATAAAAAATGCAAGGCATTTCACCTACACAAGACATTCTCAGGCAGGTAACCTTAAATTAACCCTGATCACCAGAGAACTGATTTTGTCAGACGGATCGGTCATGACCAACAAGATGAGGATAAAGCACATGGTATCTTCCTAGTACCATAATATTAATGTTCTTTTGCTTCATTTTAAGAAAAAGGGAAAAAAGCTTGGGCTTTTACATTCTCTCTGGGCTGCCTTTCCTTCTTACCTGGAACCTTCCTGCAGGTGGGCTTGATTTCTTCCTTACCCTATCTTGTGGACTCAGGAAAATCTACTCACTTCCTCTCTGTTAATCTAATGTCACACTTCAAACAGGGAAAAACCTGCAGTTCTGCTACAACCACCCAATTCACATACACATTGATTTTCTTTCTAGAGCTGCAGCTAATGGCTGCACTGGGCAGAGGCATGGTTATTTGTAAGGTGGTCTACACCTTTGTATCCTTTTATGGCTGCCAGTGAAGAGCCCACTGAATGGGCTGCTAGGGCAGATGTGCAGTGTTTCTGCTTTTTAAAATTAGTCACTATAACTGAACCTTATTGTGCAAAAAGTTTAGCTCATAATCCTTCGCTTCTAGCCAGAGCTTGCTGTTTGAAGACTCATTTTAATGAAATAATTGGTGGTTCCATTCTTAAATATTAGGCTGGCAGTAATTTTTAAAATTTTCTCTCTTTAAAAATTTTCTCTAAGCATGTCAAGCTGTATGAAGAAAAAGTGTGGGTGGTTCATAAATGTGATCTCTCCTACGAGGAAAACAATATACTGAGGTGCCAGAGTCTCATTTCTATACTGGGTGCATCTCACTGCATGGAATAAAAAAATGCATCACATGCATGCACCACTAGTGGCAAAAGACTGTTCCTTTTTTCAGCCAAATAGAGACTTTCTATGTTAGGTATGTTGAGTGATAAAATGGTAATGTCTTATATTTGCTATTTTTTTTATAGAGGCCTTATGATTAGAAATCAAAACAATGTTCAAAGCTTAAGTACATAAAATTAGAACTGACACCGCCTGTTCTTTCTCCCAAGCAATTAAGATGGTACTAAAATATTATCAAAAAGAAAAGATGTCCGGCAAAAAATTAGAACAGATCTATGGCTGGATTTAAACATAAATGGACAAACCTTTAGTTTCAGGGAGATACTTGAGAAGGCAGAGAATGTTTTAAAGTAAAAATATGCCTTATCTTATTAATGAGATGACAACAGAGCAGGCAAGGCTGCAGCGATGCTGGCTCCTTGTTTTAGTGACAAAATGGTCCTGGCTTTTTGTGACAGGTCAACTGGGACTAAACTGTTTTTATTTCTAAACAAAATCATCCAATTTACATGAATCTTTAAGACATAAATGAATGGCAGGATCCAAAGTGATCCTCCAGATTACATGTTGGCTTGTTGGCTGAGATAAAAAATTAGAATCTTCTATACTATTACCAGAACCATTTCAGAACATGCTAGCTTATGTTCTGTGAGTAAAATAAAGTCCATTTAGGTTTTGTTTAGTTATTATACATTGTGTGTGTGTTTAATCAAAGGGGCGCAACACACTCAAAAGGACACGTGAATGTAAAGCAGTATTTATATATCATCATGTGTATTTGGGAGTGGTATTATGCCCAAGTCTCCACAGGAAAAAGCAAGATGACAACTGAGGATTTCTTAATGTAAACAATATTGATCACAGGCTCATAAGTAACCTTCAGTGACTATTCTCACTGATTCTTTCTCATTGAAAGTTGATATATTCATGGATACAACCTACAGACTCTTAAAATACAAGATGAGGTTTTCCTCACCAGCGACTTTGCCAAAATTTTCCGTGTTATTTTAAGCCTTTGGTTGAGTATTTTTTTGACTATGTGCTTTATTCTTATAATAGCAGCAATTCAACTTAACGCAGTGCTGAAAACAGGTAATCCTTTGTGTTCCCACTCAGACTAACTGCTGGCAACAGACTTGTACTTCTTTAAAGTTCTAACTTTGGATTCAGATTTTTTTAAAGGTATCATGATTGTCAATATCATCTTCCTTAGGTAAAGTATGGTTATTTTGACTTTGAGGATAAACATAAAGGGAAAGATCAGGAGACTTCATTCTAAAGCTTGCTACAGATTTTTAGGGTTACATTGTATCTGATTTTATTCCCAGACATATTGGCATATTAGGTAAGGAATATTAAAAAAAAAGCAAAGTGTGAATAGTTATGCCACTTAAAGCATGCAACAAAATTTGGTTAAGCATGCTTGTTAAGAGTCAGTAGAAGCTGCTTGCATTAAGAAAAAGATGCATGAAAACACTCAGACTTATTTTCTGGCAATTGGATTCACTGGCACAACATAAAATAATGGTTCTATACTGTACCAACATAATGGTGAAATAAGAACTTTCTTCTAGAATCAGGCCTTTAAGGAATCCACTTTGGGATTTCCCAAATTTCTAAAGTTCTCCAATATCCATTTCAAAAATACACTTATACTTCAATTTTCTTTTTTTTCATTAACGTAATGAAATATTCCTCTTTCTTTTTGATTCTCAACCCCACCCCATCCCATTCCCCAGCAATGCCAGTCCACATTTTTCTTTGACCTGCACTCTAAAACTTGGCTTTCTGGTTAACAGGCAGCCTGCAATTGATTGTCTTCTGCTCATCTTCTCTGATTAAAAACTCTCAATGAAGAGTAACTGGAGTAGCCATGGTGTCCCTTACCGTCTCCACACATGCTGGAGAGTAAAGGCCACGCACGCCGCCCTTTGGCTTGTGGCCCCATCGGGCTGCAGGTGGGGAATACTTCCCAGCGCTTTGCACATGCTTCCCGCACCACCAGTTAAAAGGAAACACACACATTCAAATCCCAGTGCAATATCAGGTTTTCAGGAAGTGAGATTTCCTCCAAAGATGATCAGTCTGTTTCCAAAGAGTCTCCCACTTCATTATGGACGGTGAAACCTGAAATCCAGAACAGAAACTGTGAGTCTGTGGTTTAGAAGCTCATTCTGCATTCACTGAACTGAACAAGGGTTCAGTCATGTTTACAATTAAAGGCAGCTCTACTTTAGACAGCCCCCATCGGAATTACTGTTAATAAATTATGGTCATCAGAAGACTATGATAAAATACTGAGCTGCTCATTCTGGCTCATTGTTAATAATATTGTATTGTTTCCTGTTATGTTCAAAATAAAATTTAAACTCCTTTTTCTTTTTTTTTAAAGATTTATTTCTGTGTAGAACTGGGGTGTAGACCAGAGGTACAAAGGGTGAGAGGATTCACTAGAGAGTGGGGAGCAGCACAGGTGGATCTACTGAAATACACTGCTGAGGGGAACAGTGGGCGAAATAGGAGAGGTCTGCTGTGCCATGTAGGTTAGCTCCTTGGCTGGGGATTGAACTCAGGCCATAGGGTGATAGGGTCATAGAGCTGAGACTTAACCTCTAGGGCACAAGGGACGCCCAAATTTAAACTTCTTACAATGTTGAGTTAAGACTTCAGGATGCTATCTAGTCCTTGCCTCTAGCTGTATCTCCATCACTGCTCCCTAAATACTCTAATTCTAATCATTTACCCCTCCAATATACTCCACTTTTTTCTCATGCTCTTTCCTTACTCTCCTCTCTTCCTATCACCATTTGTACAACCATACTCTATAAGTTTATCAAACTCCTTATTTTCCACTTCTCAGCAAAGCATTAAGAGCTTTTTCTTCTGTGTTCCTATAATATCTGGATTATAGTTATTTATCACAGCATACAACCTTTGTATGTATGAGTCTCTGTCTTCTGATCCTAATAAACTGATGTAAGACTGGTGTTTTTTCAATTTTATATACTCATAGAATACAAGATAGGGCACAGGATACTATTTAATAAATGCTGCTGTTTTGAATCAAAGCATTTGAAAATGAAAGAATTAAATATTTAAGAACAGACAAAACCAGATTAGCTGGAAGTTGATAGAAAAGGTGGTGTGAGGGATGCACCTTCTCTATTTTTGCACTAGCTTTGGGGTGGAATAGCTTTCTCCTACCCCCAACAATGTATTGATAGCTCCCTCGTGTTGCTTATTTCTTCAAAAGACGCCTCTCCTGGCCATCCCACATACACCCACTCTTGCCCCTCCCACAATATCCTCTTTTCTTTAGTGTACTTGGCACTATCTGGAATGATCATGTTTATTGTTCACTTGCAAATGGTTGGTCTCCCTCACTAGAACATAACCAGGTGACAGCTGGGACTTTCTATGACATGCTCTAAATTCTCAGGGTCCAGAACAGTCTGGCTCAACTCTATGTGTGCAATAAATGTGATTGAATGCATAACCAATTAAACACATAAGTATAGTGGCACTTAGAAAGCTATTTGATAATTCTTTCTATGAAAAGTCATTATAACTGAAGAATCTGATCATAAGACCCCTAAAGTTCACTATAATTAAATGTGCTAATCTTTGATAACCCATGTGACAGGACATTCCATCAGGCTTTCTAGGAAAAGTCAATCATAACCTGCAGAAAAATGTGGAAGTTTTATAAAAATATTTCAAAAGTGTAATTGAAAACAATGTAAATCAAACTTTTTATAAAAGGTGACAGAGGCAGTTAGCAGTAGTAGTTAACATCTACTAAACTGCTATGTGCCTGCCTCAAGTCCAAGTGCAATACATATTAACTCCTTTAATCCTCAAAACAATTCTATGAGGTGGGTTTTCCTGCATCCCCTCTGCATATACATGGAAACTGAGGCACAGGGATGCTCAGTCTCATGCCCAAGGTAGAGAACTGGTTAAGTGGAGGTACAAGCTCCCAACTCTTCGGACTGTGATATCAAAACATGCCTTCAACCAGTTATTTAAAGGATTTTTTTGCTGTCCTCTAGGTAGGACAGAATAGAAAAGCCTATCAGTTGGATTTTTACATTTGCCAGTCAGCTTTGATCAATTTATTTTATTTTTTATTTTTATACAAGAACTTGGGTACAGACCAGATGCACGGGAGGGTGAGAGGATTCACCGGAGACAGAGCGGGGAACAGAACAGACTGACAAAATACACTGCTGAGGGGAGCAGTGGGTGACACAGGAAAGGTCAACTTCGCGATGTGGGATTCTCACTGGCTGGCCGGGATTGAACCTACGCTGCAGAGGCTGCGGACAGCTTCACAGGGAGGCCCAGCTTTGAGCAATTTTGACCAGAGAAAGTCCTGTTTTTTGTTTGTTTGTTTTTTTTGTTTGTTTGTTTTAAAAAAAAGATTTATTTATACAAGCACTGGGTACAGTCAGAAGCACGGGAGGGTGAGAGAATTCACCAGAGCCAGAGCGGGGAGCAGAACAGGCAGAGGGCCTGAGGTACACTGCTGAGGGGAGCAGCGGGCGGCAGGAGAGGTCTGCGCACCATGTGGGACCCTCCTCTGGTGGCCGGGGAGCAGCCGGGGATCGAACCGGCACTGCAGAGGCTGCGGGCAGCTTCACAACCCAGCGCTCAACCGCTGCGCCACTGGGGAGGCCCCAGAGAAAGTCCTGTTTTGCAGCCCTAGACTATACATGTCCATGGTTCTCTTTATCTCAACATCATTTGCCTTTTGCCACAAAGTGAACTAAGAGGATGGGCTCACACATTTTGCAATTACTAGAGAAGCAAGTCCAGTGGTTGAAATGAGCAGCATCACCTCTGTCCTCGCAGGACACAGGAGCACTGTCCACAGCACAGGGAAGGAGCCAGATCCCTGACAAACACATGGCAGCTGCAGGGCAGCACCCCACAAACCACCCAAGGTCTCTCTTTGTTAGGTTCAGCCTTTCTAGGAATTCACTGAAAACTCATTGAGTTCAGCAATTTTTAGGGCTCTCCAAATTTGGTTGGCTTTGTACACCCAACAGTCCATAATGTCTTAACCGTTCCCTTTTGGCCCTGGATTCAAAGACAAGTGTGGGGAGGCCCAGCAGGGAGGTTTGCTCTTCCCATTGGAAATGTTTATGGGGTGAAGAAAGTATATTAGAATATTGGATTGGGCAACAAAGTCAGCAGTCAGTAGACCCAGAACCTTCTAAACCCAGCATTTTCCTGGAAAGTCTCTTGCTTTTAATTTCCCTGAATTAGCAGGGCACTTGAAGATATTTTGTTGTTTTCATACAGACATGAGGAGCCCCTGGTTCCCAAGAGTGAGCTTCACTGGATTCAGTGCTAAGTCCCAGGCCATCAACACAGCTTCAAGAGCCAGCTAAGAGCAGAAGGTCAACCAATACCGTGAATGCAATAATAACCAATACTGTGAATGCAATACTAAATCCACAAAGCCAGAGCTTAGAAATGTGACTTCCCTTTATAGGGACTGTCTGGATTTGGTAAAACAAAACAAAAAACCAACCCAGAGCCCATATAGGTCCCTGTAGTAGCCCATCAGAGAAGGACATTCACATCCTGTTTATATTAGGCATCTTAACTTCCAATTCAGGTCTAACATTTTATGGTTAGAGGCACTGCAAATGCAAATTAGTGTTAAGTTTTGCTACCACTCAGAGGTTTGCATTATTTTTCAAGTAGGAAAAAAATCAGCTTTATCTCCTGAGCAGTTTGACTATCTGACAGAATGACAGTTTTGGGTGGAGGCTTCAAGTTGATGAAGCAATAAATAGATTTATTGTGCCCTAAGGATATATCAGCTTTTCTTCCACTCCTAGAAATTTTCTGAGAGAACAAGGTAAAATTATCTATATATTCTTCTCTTTGTAAAACAGTAATGCATTTTTCTTATTTTCATGTGGCATAGAGGAAATACCTATTTTTAAATTATGGAATTCAGGAAAAGAGAATTCTTTTCCATAAAGATGTTTCCTCCACAATTTAAAATTTAAAAATTTATTCAACTTCCTGTAAGTTCATTCAGATAAAAGAAATTATAAAATCACCCTCAAGTACAAAAGATCACTTCCCTGTACTTCCTTATTTGAGATATATATATATATATATATATAAATCCAAAATATTCCATTTTCCCCCAATTTAAAACCATTTGATTGTTGTAGCATGTGCCCATATATGAAATAAACCAGAGGGTTTCTGTTAACCAGGTGAACAGACAGATATTCTAAATATGGAGCCTACCCTTTTTGATGGTTAAAGCCACATTTTGCAACTCTTTTTAAGATCTGTTTAGGCGTCAAGTAAATAGAACACTTTTGAAAGCAACCTTCCCATTCCCCTGGGGAAGAAACTAATTATTTCTTTAAAGGTTTATTTATTTATTTATGCATACAAAAACTGAGGTACAGGCCAGAGGTGTGGGGGGTGAAAGGATTCACCAGAGACAGAGTGGGGAGCAGAACAGGTAGACCAACTGAAATACACTGCTGTGGGGAGCAGTGAATGACACAGGAGAGGTCTGCTGCGCCATGTGGGATGCTCCCTGGCTGGCCAGAATCAAACTCATGCTGCAGAGGCTGCGGATAGCTTCACAGTGCTGTGCTTAACCCCTAGCGCCACCAGAGAGGCCCAGAATCCTAATTATTTTGAACTACAGTTGGTCGCAAGTGTTGTTCCTCCCATGTCACGTTTTGATAAGCATATCTAAAAGCCAAGAGTGGTTTACTTTACCCATAAATCCACATATCATAGTAATGGTGCAAGATACAAGAGCATGAGATAATTGCTCTAAACTAAACACTTTTTCCTCTCTGCCCAACAAAAAACCACATTAAGAAAAAGTAAAAAGTAGAGGATAGTGGGAAAAAACCTGATAACCCCACTCTATAACAAACCATTGAAGGTTTTTTGGATGGTATTTCCCGATCTTTTCCCCTATGTATCTGAATTTTAAATGGAACACATCACTGTTATATATGCCTTTCATCAGTATCCTGATTTTTCCACTTAATATTATGCCAATGATCACTGGAAGTCCATTTTGACTCTAAGAGAGTTAAGTCAATGATTCTAGCCTTAAGATTGATATAATA